GCCCTAATTCCACTGGCCACCACCGCCCTACCTAGCTCTCTCCCCAACCCCCTTTACTCCGCCAAACCAAACCTCGGCGCCTTACACCGCCCGCATCACCGCCGTAGTCGCAAAATCCATGTACGCCGCAATTAGACAAAAAGAGTAGAATAAGAGATGTTAGTGGTGGAGTGGGAGTCGATCGGAGGCGGCGACGATGATGTAGGCGGAGATGCAGCGGCATTGAAGATGCAGGCGGAGATGGAGCTATGAGATGAGAGATCAGCTATTGGCGGCGGCTTTTTTCGTAAATTAAACCTGGGAGCTGATGAAAAGAGAAGAGACAAAGTGATGGAAGAGAAGAGGCGCAGGGGATGGGAGACGCAGAGATGAGCGCAGAGACGGATGGGTTAGGGCAAATAAATTGAATCACGTTTTGGGGCCATGGGGGAGAAGGACGGGTCAGTTTTTTTGGAAAAAGTCAAATGTGTCATATTTATTGAAATCAAAACTTGATTAGTTATACGATGGCAATTTTTTCGACAATAATATGAGAACATCTAAAAATGAAAAAATGGGAGAAGTTTAGGGGGGCAATAATTATGACTCTCAACAAAATGAATTGGGGTAATTTGAGTTTGCACCCAATTTTATCGTCCAAATTGGACTTTGCACCCCATTTTTAAAACTCTTTGTTTTTGCACTTCAACCTCATATGAAAAGACAAAAATGCCCTCGTTTAGGAATATGTTGAAGGCCAACAAATTTCTTAATGGAGGGACAATTTTGTCCTTTCATATGGGATTGGGATGCAAATTTTTTTTTTTTTAAACGGGGTGCAAAGTCTAATTTGCACAAAAATATGGGGTGCAAACTCAAATTACCCAAATGAATTTCTTAGTCTTTGATTGTACAAAAAGAACATGACTAAGTAATGAACAACCGTTTATATAAGCAAGGTACTCAGTTAGCTGAGATGCAATACAAAGATGTTTTTTAGCAGCAAGTTGGTTTGCAGCTTCATCCAGGGTAAGGGTTGGCGGTAAATCTTTTCCTTCTATGTTATTTTGTGGCTTTTATGTTTTTGTTTTTTTGTTTTTCTTTCTTTTTTTATTATTATTTTTGGCTTTTAAGTTATCGTGCTCGTTTGAACAGTGACCTGGTGACCCAGGGTGTGATTTTGTTGCACAATTATGTTAATTGGTGATAAAATTATTACTTTTGACTATGGAATTCGTTATTGCACAAACCTATTTTTCTTGTAATAATCCAACACATTCCAAGCTACTAAGAGGTACTATCGTACGCAGGGCCGGCCTTGGCACTGTACACAACACAGGGAATTCAATCCGAAATTATCTTAATCCGAAATTCAACACAAGGATGAATTTGGCTATCGGCTATGGGATCCAATCAATAAGAAGGTTGTTCGTAGCAGAGATGTCATCTTCTTTGAAGATCAAACGATTGAAGATATTAAGAACTCGGAGAATTGAAGCCAAGATTGAGAAGAAGCAAGAACATCGAACTTACTCCAGTTCAACGTGAGGATGACACACATCAAGATAATGATGATGAAAACCATGAGCAAAGCAACCAAGAGACTCATGATGAATCAAATCAGGAAGATCCTCAATCTAGTTCTCTGTCAGCACCAGAGCCGAGGCGATCCTCTAGGGAGAGAAGACCATCCATCCAGTATAACACCGAAGATTACATTACACTCACGGATGAGGGGGAGCCGCAAAGTTACAAAGAAGCAATCAATGATATTCATAAAGAAGAGTGGAGAAAAGCCATGCAAGAAGAGATGCAATCCTTGCATGAGAATCACACTTATGAACTTGTGGAGCTACCAAAAGGGAGAAGAGCCTTGAAGAATAAATGGGTGTATCGAATCAAGACTGAAGATAGTAGCTCAAAGCCTCGCTACAAAGCTCGGTTGGTGGTCAAAGGATTTGGTCAAGAAAAAGGCATTGACTTTGAGGAAATATTCTCTCCCGTGGTAAAGATGTCATCCATCCGAGTTGTCCTTGGCCCAGCAGCAGTTCAAGATTTGGAGATTGAACAACTCGATGTCAAGACGGCATCCCTTCATGGCGACCTAGAGGAAGAGATCTACATGAAGCAGCCCCAGGGTTTCAAAGTTCCGGGTAAGGAAAATCTAGTATGTCGCCTCATGAAGAGTTTATATGGCCTCAAGCAAGCACCGAGGCAATGGTACAAGAAGTTTGAATCCTTCATGGCAGAGCATGACTTTACAAAGACGAAAAACGATTATTGTGTCTTCATAAAGAGGTATGAACGTGGCGACTTCCTCATACTTCTACTCTATGTTGATGATATGTTGATCATTGGACAAGATCGCATAAAGATAGATGCCTTGAAAAAGGATTTAAGCAAAAGTTTCGCCATGAAAGATTTGGGACCGGCTAAACAAATCCTTGGGATGAGAATAACTCGTGATAGATCGAAGAGACTGTTGTGGATATCCCAAGAGAGGTACATTGAGAAAGTGTTGGAACGATTCAACATGAACAAATCGAAGCCGGTAAACACACCACTTGCTGGACACTTCAGGTTGAGTTCGAAGCAAAGTCCAACAAATGAGAAAGAAATGGAGGAAATGAAGAAGATTCCATACTCATCGGTAGTAGGCAGTCTCATGTATGCAATGATATGCACAAGACCAGATATCGCCTATGCAGTTGGAGTCGTCAGTCGCTTCTTGGCCAACCTTGGGAATGAACATTGGGTAGCGGTCAAATGGATCCTCCGATATTTACGAGGAACTTCCAAAATATCTTTATGCTTTGGAAAAGGAAAACCTGTGTTAGAAGGATACACAGATGCAGACTTGGCCGGTGATATTGATTCAAGGAAATCAACATCGGGCTACCTAACTACTTTTGCAGGGGGAGCTGTTTCCTGGCAATCAAAGCTGCAAAAGTGTGTTGCATTATCCACCACAGAGGCAGAGTACATCACATCTACTGAAGCTTGCAAGGAGATGTTGTGGATGAAGAACATTCTGCTCGAGCTGGGAATAGATCAAGAAAGGTACGTGTTGAAGTGTGATAATCAAAGCACAATTTACTTGGCGAAAAACTCAACATTTCATTCCCGCACAAAGCACATTGACACAAGGTATCACTGGATCCGAGAAGTCCTCGAGGAAAAGAAATTGCATCTTGACAAGGTTCACACCAACGAGAACTGGTCAGACATGATGATCAAGGTAATACCGACAAAGAAGTTCGAAGATTGCTGTCAAGGTGCAGGTTTGCTACTACCCCCCACCAATTAAGTCGTGAGGGGGAGATTTGTTGGGATCCCTCCTTAATTGGAGAGGTTCTAGAAAATTCTAGAGCTTTCTAGATAAGTATAGAATTTTCTAGAACGTTCCGGAGAATCCTAGAGAAGTCTAGAACTCTCTAGAAGCTTGTGGAACAGTGTGGAATCCTCTAGAATATTCTATAGATGTGTGGAACCTTCCGGAAGCCTATGGAAGAGTATGGAAGCATATGGAAGAGAATGGAGAGGTGTAGAGATTCCTTGGAATTCTCTAGAATAGGTAGTCATGTGTAGATCATTCTAGAGAACTACTCTCCACCACTCATTATGGAGGTGAAGTTGTATAAATAGGAGTAGGAGCCTCCATTCCTAACCATCCTAGCCAAGAGTGAATCAGTGAGAAAGTTAGAGAGTCTCTTTGAGAGAGAAGAGAGATAGCTTGGGAAGTTCATATCCTCGAGCTTGAGTGAGCCACCATTGAGTGAGACAATTTTGTAACATTCTTGTAAATCCTACTATTCTTTTGTATAGTGGAAGAATCTCCATATTGGAGAATTTAAATCGTGTGCTCCCATTGCTACCTTATTTCCTAAGTGCATATCTTAACTTCACGAAGCGGGAAAGTCTGGAGTGTTTTTTCCCAACACACAGGGAATTCAATCCGAAATTATCTTAGTCTGAAGGAGCTGCTTGTAAACTATTGGTCATTACATGTACAAATACCTTTAGTCAAATCAATTACTACTAAAACATTACTTATAATTTATTGCAAGTGAACACATAATAAATTTACCTATTAGTATTGTTTTTATTACTTTACTATACTACGTTACTTCATATATACACTTAATTTGTAAGTTACATTCTTGATTTCCTTATAGTTAACTATATCAATTTTTTAATAATTTGTTTTTTTTGTTATGATATTGTTTGTTAGGAATCAAAATAAGTTTTTCACTACATTTTATACTTACTTTTTGTGTTTTTAAGGTTATTATTATTTTCACTACATGTGTTATATATAATACTCCCTCAGTTTCAAATTGAGTTGTAAAATTGACATTTTTGAATCAAACAAATTTATTGTATTGATATGAAGCAGAATCTGGGCTTGGAAGAAGAGGGGAAGAAGCCCCCGTGGGTTTACCGAAGGCGGGAAGGGCTTGAGCCTACCTCCGTGGGCTGGTTACGGGCTGTTTAATTAATAATTATTCTTTTTAATTTTCCTGATTTGTTTCCTATTAGGAGTTAATTATGATTTCTAATATTTGTTTCCTATTAGGAGTTAGTTAGGATTTCTATTATTTCTTTCCTATTTGAAGTTGATTAGGATCTTTATTATTCTGTTTCCTAGTTGGAGTTGATTAGGATCTCTAGGATTTTGTTTCCTACTTTAAGAGTTAGTAGATGGGTATTTAAACCCCTTGTTAGGCTTCATTCTTAAGCAATCTTGGAATAAAAGTTGGTTTAGCCTTTTGGCTCTGGGCAACGGTATTTATTTATCGTTGATTATCTGGGCAACGGTTCACCCCGTTGATTTTATTTTTCTGTTCTTATCATGTATTCACTTAATTAATTGAGTTATCAATCCTTACTTAAATTTTAGCTTGAATTTTGGAACTTTATATAGATTTTAATTTAGTATTTGAATATATATGTAAATCCTTAGTTAGCTTGAATTTTGAAATTTTATATAGATTTAATTTTAACATTGACACAGATATAATATAACTTTTTAATAATTTAGGGCCTTTATTTAATACTGAATAGGACCTTCAACATCTCAGGACCGGCCCGGATCGTACGTAACATTCAATTAGTCACAATTTAGAGATGGGAATTTTAAAAAGACATAACTAAGAAAAGTAGATACTGAGAGGTAATTAATGTAACATTCAAGTACGTAGTCTTAATTTAGAGTTGAGAATTGAAACAATCTATAATTAACAGAGACTCATTCAATGAGATAATGTAGCATTCCAGAATGGCTCATCGTTTGGATCAATAATGTGGATCCTTCTTTCACCAAAGAACCACTCGACCATCGCCTTCTCCATTGTCTGGTAGGTACGGTAAACAGAAACAGTTAGAATTACAGTACATTTACATAATATACTTTTAATTTTAATTTCTATTTTTAATATTTGTAATTTAAAATGTGGATCATAATGACAAATAATAAAAAGGGAGGAATACCTTTGACGTTTTGTTTTCGGGAAACATGGGTACCTTCAAACCAATCCGGCCGAAGGAATGGCCAAACTGTGAGGTTACCAAGTACCCATTAGTGGCTGACGGGGTAGGCAATGCCTTTATTATTTGTTGCCTGAAATCTATACACACATAATAAATCTCGTTAATAAACAACATGTGCTTATAATTTGCGTTTTCATGTATATTGATTAATACTGGGGATCGTATCCTAAAAGAATAATAACTATATCACCATTATGACACCATATACATATACACACATATATACATATATACATATAACATATTCTCACACACACATATCTCTGTGTAGAATTTAGATTAAATGAAAATGAATTTAGAACGTTAAATTTAGAATTGTACATTATATAAAGCCGGATTGTGCACTATCACCAATCAATAAACGTTGTTTCATTTTTAAGAAAATAAATTCAGCTTTAACGCTATTTGGAAACTTTCCGATGGATATTAAAAAAAAATAGAAATTACTTCAAATAGGACTAAAACTATGACAAAAACTCAAAATAGGACTTGCTATGTTTTTTATTCCAAAATAGGACCATAGTGGTCCTATTGAAAACATACTCATTTCTTCCTTCCATTCTTACCCCTCCTTTATTTAGTAAAAGATAGCTAAAAGTCATAATTAAATGTTTAATTCATAATAAATTCGAAAAAAATTCAATAATTCGTAGATTAATAATAAAAAAATTAAATAAATTTTTATAAAATAAAAAATAAGAAATTTTTTATTTAATTTTTTTTTTGAAAATTAATAAAAAATAGTAAAACTCCATAAAAAAAAATTAAAAAAATATGGATACCTTTCCCACCGCCTGTACTACCTCCCTGAACCACCACCTCCGATCGGTGTAAAAAATGCAACTTTTTTTTTAAATTCCCCAAAAATGGCATATTTCTCTATGAGAATGCCAACATTTTCATTCTGCCAACTTGAATCCTTTTGACTTTTGTCAAAAATATGGCATTCATAATTTTTGTGGCATTTTTTTACCCCGGTGACAGGAGGTGGTGGTACCGCCTCCCTGCACCACCACCTCCGACCGTTAAAAAAAATGCCATATTTCCTACAAACTTCCATTTTTTTTTAAAAATGCCAAAAATATGGCATATTTCTCTTTGAGAATGCCAACATTTTTTTCTTCCATCTTAAATCATTCTGAATTATGCCAAAAATATGGAATTCATAATAAATTTGGCATTTTTTCCCCAAATGACTAGAGGTGGTGGTGCTGGGGCGGCAGAGGCGGCGGTGACAAAAAAAATTAATTTTTTTTGTTTTTTTTTTTTAATTTTTTTAATTTTGTTTTTTAATTTTTTTTAATTTATTATTATTCAAAATAGTTTTATTAATTTTTTGGTACATTTTACGAATTTTTATTATTTTTTATTATTTTATTATGAATTAAAACATTCCAATAGGTATAAGGGTATATTTGTCCAAGACACACATAATTAGTCCTACGGAAACATAGTTTATTTTTTGGTCCTATTTGTGCAAAGTGAATGACTTTTAGTCCTATTTTGATAATTAACTAAAAAAATAACGTTGCGCTTAAACTGCATCCGTAGAATTTCCAAATTTTGTAAGTTAGCTTAAAGTAAGATTAAATAAAATAAAATGCAAAGCTTGTTCAAATGTATGATTGGACTTAAAAAAATTTGGACTCACTATATATACGTCTTATGTAATAGTGTAATACGTTGTATTATTCACTTAAACATAAGGGTATGATATGGATAAAAAAATTAATATGAATCCGTAATAGGCACGGGTTTGAATTGAATAATTACTATGCCATTAAAGAGATAGAATATACTTAAATGATGTAATAAAGTAAAAAAATTGGGTAAATTTTATAGATCGTGTAAATACATTAATTAAAAGTAAAAGTCCTCGCAAAAAAAAAAATTGAAAGTAAAACATACCTTTTAGCAATTCCATATCACTTGGAGTAACCGTATGATTCATTATCTGATCGTGTAAGCCCTCAGAAAACATGTTTCGTATCTTTCGAAAAACAAAAGTATAAAAACATAGTTAAATAATACAGAGGAAAAACCCTATCGAAAGTTAGCATCACAATAAAACAGAGTAATAAACTAAGTACATTATGTAGCTATAAGGTGCAAGGAGCTAACCTGATATGAATCAAATGCCGAATTCAAAAGGTATATGGGAGTTTTTATGTACTTCACCAATGTTTTAGGAAAGAAGCACTGCACACACCGCGTCGGTATTATTGCATTATTGACATACAAGTATACTTAATTATATAACTAAAAGGATTTGATTGAACACAATCTATAAATAAACAATAGGAAAAGATCCGGAAATAAGAACAAAAGCGTTTGAGAATTCGAAATGGAAGCAAATTGCAAGTATAGCAGCATAAAGTTGAAATTCTCAAAATAGAAGTAACTCTTCCTATTTACCCTTTCCAATATAATGTTTAATAGGGTTTTTTAACTCATAATAATAACCGTAAAAGAATAAATAAAAAACAAAAAGCACCAACACCACGACCTCAACCACCTCGGCCACCTTCCAGCACAATCACCACCTCAACCACCTTCTAGCAGTAGCACCACCATTGATCCACGACCCCCCATAAAAGCGCCGCGTATCATTATTTATCCACCAGTGAAATGTCATATATTATGGTAGCATTTTTGAAAGAAAAGTTTGATAAATGTGTATTTTTACAAAAGGTGGCACCATTTTTTTCAGCAATCGGAGATTTGGAGGTGGTGGTGCTGGGAGATGCAAAAAGATGTAGCGGCAGAGGCCGACATATTTTTTAAAATTTTTACAATATTTTCAAGTTATTTATTTATCTTTATTTTTTTTATTTTTGTTTTTATTTTATTTTATATTTTAACATTTTTATTATTAATTTAAATAAATATTTTTCTTAGTTTTATATTTTTATTATAAATAAACTATCATTTTTTATTAAAAAAATAAGTTTCAATGGAGATTTTGGGAATGTGGAAGGTATAGAATATGAAGATGGACGGGACGGCTAGACATATATTAGTACTAGCGGCGGACACAGGGGGTGACAAAGGGGGGCGGCTGCCCCTCCAAAAAACAATTCTAGGTATATTTACCCCAAAACTTTTAATGTATATGTATTTGTATGTATATTTTTTACTGCCGCCCCTGCTACCTGAAATTCCTGCGTCCGCCACTGATATTTAGTACTACATATTTTTTGAGAATAAAAAGAGTATAGTTCTAGTAGTTCTATTGCATTTCTGATTAATTCTCTTCCTATAAGGTTAATAAATGTTTTTCCTTAAACACGGGTTATTACTTATTACTATCATCAAGAAAATTTATTGCCATATTTTGGCCTTATCGGGGTTCAAAAATAGGAGCTAGTATACTACCATGAGTGACAGTAGATTGATTATTGTTTGTTCTTTTCATTGTTACCAATAACTAATCCTATTTATAAAATAATTCCATAGTATATTTTGATATTCTCAAACATTTTGTACTCATATACAACACAACGTCTTTAAATAATATGTACCGCTGATGGGCTTCGTTCCGATATGCATTCTGCCGGCAATGCCTTGGCGCTTTGCTGCAAGCCATGCAATATTCCAGAATTTAATTTAACTACTCTCGTATGATATCACAATGAGAAAATTTTAAAATAAGAGTGTCATGATTTTTTCTTAAATAGAAATAAGTTTCCATTATTCAGGAATTAAAAATATTGATTTCCTATTTTGAAATTCTCTTACGTTTTTGTTCCTATTTAGCCTAATTTAGTTTCTTTATAACAATACCGTTATATCGATAGATTAACTTTTCTAAGACTAAAACAATGAAGAAATTCATAAGCACGACAATATTGATTTTATTCGCAAAAAAGACATATTTACACTTATTTTGGAAAGTTTTAATCAAGAAAGAATGACAAAAATATGATTTTTACTTTGAAAATGACAAAAATAAGACTAAATCTCGTTTGAACAAAAAACTAAGCTGCAATTGTTGGGCGGCGGTACATGTCACTATTATCTAGGTGTCAATACAAAATCGAATGTCACTGGGATTTTCAATTGTCACCGCAAGTTGGTCACTGTAACTGGAGGGGTATATTTGTGATATTAGTCATCACTATGTTGGAAAATTTTGAAAAAAGACACTTTTTTGCCCATAGGTTATTGTTTAGTATTAATTTTGTCAAAACTCCTTTAACTAAATTATTTTCTCAAAATCCTACTCCTTAAATAACTCTTATTTGATCAACAAACCGTATACTAGTATAATTTTATTTTAGAACTTTAACTATGTTTTGGTCAATAATTAACAATTATTTCAATTTAATTAATTACCTGTAGTTCAACAACCGTGCCAAATATAGTCTTGAAAAACATGGCACGCTTGGGATCCTTCCTGCTAATAGCAAAATTTTAAACATAAATAAATTAATAAATAAATATAATTTCTGAATTATAAGTACAAACAAATTGTATGTCTACGCTTACAGTTTTAAGAACAAAGAGCTATCAATATAACACTTGACGTTCACTGTCGGGTGAAATAGGCTTCTAAAATGATCGCAATGGATCATGGCACCTATTCCACCGGCAGAACCTCCGGCAAGGATCACCTGTTGTAAAACAATTAAGATGCGTGTAAAATAAATTTAAAAATAAGATTTTGATTAATTAATTCACATATGGCATATAGTAGTTATTAAATTTTACATTTTCGGCATCTTTCATGCCTTTAGCCATTAACTCATTCATCACAGCTCTGTAAATCCGGGCGCCTCTATAGAAAAGCTTTGTTACCTAATCGGAAGTTAAAAGTGAATTCATTAAATTGATGGAAATATTATTGTAGATAATTGAAAGAAACAAATTAAATAGAATACATACCGGATCAGGTTGATCCACATCTCCTGAGAATGATCCGCCGTCACAGTATCCCACGACGACACGATTCCAATTGTAAAAATAAGATTCATTTTTTTCATCAGAAAATATCCCTTCAAATGGGAAATCAGTCATGAGGAAAGAAGATCCCATTTTGGACGTGGCACGAGTACAGCAGCTTTCAGCAAAGGCATTTTTCATATTTTCGTATATGGTGCTGTTTAAACACCACCCTCCTCCCTAATTAAATGACCATGTGATATATATGAGCTAATGAGCTTTAACTGAATTTAAATACTCCGTATTATAGGTGGCGTTGACTTAAATGAAACAAAATGTGTATTAGTGTATATATAAATTACATACGGAAGAATAAACTTATATTGCCAAGGAAAAGAAACTCATGCGGACACTATATGCACATTTGTTTCGTCACAAAGTATTTAAAACAAAACAAGTTATTAATTATAATGTAAAATGCATGAAGCGACCAGTGGAATTATATTTTTAATACAAAATTGCCTCAAAACAATGTTATATCATTGGTGGAATTGAAAGCATATTAACGCATTGATTGGAACAAGAAATCTATGGGTTCTAGAGTGAATGCATGATAGCTCTCATTTAATTTGTTTAAAAAAAGGGAAAGTTCCCGAAATAGGACTAAAACAGTTTGAAAATTCCAAAATAGGACTATCATGTTTTTTACTCCCAAAATAAGAGTAATTACTGTCAAGTTTGGAAAATACTGGCATGTTTGAAGTCTGGTACTGCCAAAACATGACAGTAATTAGTCCTATTTAGGGAATAAAAACATGACAGTTCTATTTTGGAATGTTCAAACCTTTTTTGTCCTATTTTGGGTAATATTCTCTAAAAAAACTGTTGGTTTGAAATCTATTGCCTATGGCTGCTTCTTATGTAAACTTTAAATAATGATGACGTAACAGCTAGTTGTATAACTGAATCAGGGAAATAAAAATTATATTGAATATTTAATTTTTGAAACTGAGATAATTCCGCTTTCAATTGTAAGAAAAAGTAATATATATACTATACGTAAACTCCATATGAGTTTTGCATCCAAAAATTAAAATAGCGACCCTAAAAATATGGTCAGCTTTAATTAAATGAAAAGGCTTTATTAATTAGATTAAATGCAATGACAGTAGGTCTCTAGGTTAACAATTTTATGTACTTCTTAATTCTTATTGTGCTTATAATTTTAGTAATAATTAAATTATGACAGTACAAATTAAAAGAACAATTACTACATGCACAATTGTGAAAATGAAACTGAGATAATTCCGCTTTAAATGGTAAGAAAAGGTAATATACGTAAACTCTATATGAGTTTTGCATCCAAAAATTAAAATTGGGACGACCCTGAAAATATGGTCAGCTTTAATTAAATGAAAAATCTTTATTAATTAGATTAGATTAAATGCAATGATGGTCTCTAGGTTAACTTTTTTATGCACTTCTTAATTTTAGTAATAATTAAATTATGACAGTACAAATTAAAAGAGCAATTACTACATGCACAATTGTGAAAATGGAGCTGATGGGCTGCCAGGCATGTCACTAAATCATACAGCTTGAGTTACTACTAATGATCATAATCATAACTATGCGTGTGGAAATACTGCGTGGTGCATTTATGGGTGTACTTCAAATTTCTTAATTTGGCACAATGAATTAAACTTTTCAATCCACTAAAACAGACATGCCATTCGAAGAAAAAAACTCAGTATGTTATTTTAGAATAAAGTTCAAAAGAAGAAAGCTATTGTGATATTTAAAAATTTCCATTAATTAAAATTTGATATATAATTGATGCTAGTATAGAGTAAACTCACTCCCAAATGGACCAGCCAGTTACGTGCACCGGAACCTTTGCCTGCATCATAATGGTACGCGGGCGGGCTTCCGTCCAAACACACTATAATAAGCACAATAAATCTTTTATAAGACGAGTTATTCGAGTATATGTGAGTGTTTGTACTGTGTATATCATAAGTGAAATTACTAATGTATATATATACACACATATAGAGTTTCGATCTTACCCTCCCATGACCCCATAATGAAATAAAAATACTCTAACATTGTGAAAACATGACTATAACTTTTTTCAATATATGGATGTGCTTATACATAAAACTCAATTAACTAAGCATATAAGAATGCTAAGCTTGTTCACAATTTATGTACATTCATAAATGTTCAAGTATTTTACCGGCTCCTTCAGCAACGGCGCTCGTTATCAAAGTCTTGCTAACATTTTTGTCAGCCTTTGATGGGTCAACAATGAGAGCAGCACAAAGAAGGAAGCAGTAGAGCATTATCGTTGACATCTCCTACAACGGTAAAAAGTAAACCACATCACTAAATAAAAATGATAAAAAGGAAAATAAAATTGATAAAAAAGAAAATAAAAATGTCACACCAAACCGGCACTTAATTATTTCCGCTAGAAGCCTAGAAGGCTAGAAGTATCATAAACAGGCTAATTTCGTTGGACACAAATGATGTATGCATGCGTTTGTGTGAATGTATATTACTTGGGCGGTCATAATAAATTACTTCGTATAAAGCTCAAAGATATAATAAAAATGGAGTAGCATTTTATTTGTTTCGTATAAATACTAGAGGGACAAGATATAATAACAATAACAAAAACATATGTATGAAACGTAACATTTTATCCTAAAAGAAACATTACAAAATAAAACAGTTTAACGTAATCATAATATTGTAAAATCTGAGTAGTACAACTGTACAAGGATAAAAAGTACAGAGACGAAAGATATATGTGACGATTTCATGAAGGAAAGAACTCAAAATGAGAGAAAAATTATTGGAGAGAAATACCTAGAGATAGAGGTTACCATTCAATCAAGGCAAAATGAATAACGAAAGTTAGAAGGCTGGACTGCTAAAGAATTAATCGAAGACTGAATGAGAATTGAAACTCGGACGTAGACTCTATATAACTAGGGGATGGAGATAATGGATTTATTGAGCTGCTTTAGTAATTATGAGTATCCATAAATGCACGCATAAATCATACTCCATACTTGGTACTGCAAGATATTATGCTTCACCCGAATAGAGAATATTAGAAGAGGTTTTTCAATTCATTTAATGTACTATGAGATGATATTAAATGTTTAATTAATACACTGCCCATACTATTCCCTGATCAATATAAGCCATGTTGCTATGTTGGTACTACAAAAGGAAAGTCATTCTCCACTACATACGTACGCAGTTGAATCGGAGAGATTTATTACGTATGATTTACTTTTTTTTAAGAGAAACGGTTCAATGTAGGACTAAAACTGGTCATATATACCTAAATAGGAGTGAGATGATTTTAACTCCTAAATAGGACTTAATTTCCCGTATCTTCCATATTTGCCCTTACAAGATCCCGTGTCTTTTGTTTTTGCTTCTCAGTGTGACCGAGCCCACAAGATCCCACGCAAGACATCTCTTCCATGTGGATCTTTGTTTCCAGAAGCAGAGGAGCATGGCCGGTGGTGCAAATGTGAGTATGTGATGGTACGGCGACAGTGCGACGGCCGGACAGCATGGGGAACTGGCGGCGGCGGCGGCGGCGGAAGGCCCGGTTTGTACCGCTGTACGGCAACTCGGCGGAGATGGATGGAGACACATCAGCGGCAGCTGGCCGGAGGCCATTCTTCTCCTTTTAATTCTTCTATAACCGGTTGTCCACCTCCTCCCTCCTTCATGGTTCCACGGTGGTACATCAGTTACCATCTTTAGTTTCTTGTTGTTCGATCGTTCTTTTTGTCCGTTGTTTTCCAGATCTGCTTTGATTTCAACCATCATATCTTCTCTTATTTCAGATCCATGTTGTATTAACCATAACAAAACAAATCGCAGAGATAGATTCGAGGAAAATACTATTAGGAAACTGCATCTGGAACTTGCTTGAAAGTTTTAACTTCTAATTTCCGTTAAGGAGCTACGAATAAAGAGCCAATCTTAGGGGCAGATATGGTGGCGCACAGTAGCCAAGCACCTACGGCATAACCTGCTATTTCACTTGCTATTATGTGATTAAACATCTTCCTTCTTCAATTCATTTTAATCTTGCCTACTGTGGGATCTCCAAGTTAACCCACAGGCCATGGCAATCTAGCTAGGAGCAAAGCCCTCATTCAAAATTATGATTGCTGGAAAAGGAGAATGTGTTGCTGAAGAAGAATCAAAGATGATCTTGCCTACATGTGTGTATTTTAATTTTTAAGTTACTTCGTATGTATTTTAACAATGCCAGTGACTCCCTAAATATAATTTAAGCTAATGTTATCATTTGTTTAATTTTGAATTTTATTTTTGCATAATTGATCGTATATTAACATTCACATTAATTTAAGTGTTAACATTGTTTCACCATTTTCATTTATTATTACATTATACGAAATTTTCGTTATCATTTTTATAGTAATGACATTATTATCATTACAATGTCATTATTTATAACATTGTCATTATTTGACATTGTTATAATTTGACATTGTAATATTTTTCTACACCTTTGAAAATAACATTGTCACACACTCGTTGACATTGTCTATTTTACAATGTCATTAGTCATGCAATTGACATTCTTATTTACATTGTGATATTTTTGACATTGTAATATTTTTCTACATTTTGGCGGTGACATTGTCATACATTTATCGACGTACATCTGCTTTGAAATCATCATAATTACAATGTCATTTTCTATAACGTTGATATTGGCATTGTCAACTAAGAAAGTATTATTCCATAACAATGTTTGCTGTATTATGACATTGTTATTCACAATGTCACATGATATTGCCCTAGTATTTCAATGTCATCAATGAAAACAATGTCAACTCTTGACAATGTCATAACAATGTCATCAATGAAAACAATGTCAACTCTTGACAATGTCAACTAAGAAGTTATAACAATGACATTGTAATATTGACAATGTCAATACCAATGTCGATGATTGATTGAACAATGTCAATGCCATAAAAACATTATGGCAATGACAACATTCTTAACAACAATGACATTGCTATAAAAAATTACATGTTTCCATGGGAAAAACATTATTGAAAATGTATTACTTCGTATAACATATAGAAATGTACGTATTGAAGAAGTAACACTATAAAGTAATTAACAGGAAAATTAAACAAAACAAAATTACATTTTGGAAAAGGAAATTTCAAATAAAAAAGAAAGAATAGGAAACACAACTAAAAGCACCCACATAGATAACCTCCAAAAAGTTGACAAATTGACTGAAACACGAGAAAACACAATGGCAACCAAAAAACAAAAAACAAGTCTGAAGAAACGCAGATACAGAGCACCGACAGAAACAAAGAAAAGAGGAGAGAAGAAGAGAGATCGAACGACTGGAAGTATTCCCAAATTAAGCCAGGCCGATAGCAACTCCAGGGAAGAACGGGATTATGCTGAAGCTATCACGTATAGGAATCGCGATGCATAGTAACGAACACCACTGGATTCAATTTGTGAAGAAAGCTACCTCGAGCTAGCGCTGCGGTACGTTCCTCAGCGAATTAGCCGCTAAGCAGCAATGACGGGTGAAACTGGAACCTCAGTCTAACGAGTGAGCAAGTTTTGCTAGGCTGCCATCGGTTCTCGGCGGTTTACCAATAATCTAGGTCTCGAATAGATGAGCACCGATGAAGGCCGATTCAACTCATTAGAGTAGGGGGTATTTTTGCCCATTCAATTGCAAATTAGTCCTATTTGGGAGTTTAAAAGTTGTAACTCCTATTTAGATACCACAGGTATCTTTTAGTCCTATACACGTCTTTCTCCCTTAATTAAAATATCTCAAACTTTCAAAAGGTGTGATATGAACATCCCAAACTTACATATGTAATTCAAATACCACAAACTTTATATATATGTAAATCTATGGAGTTAATTATTGCATAATTTAAAATAGTAAATTAAAAATATTGCAATTATATAGATTGGGCGTAACCTAATTTATTTCTCAATCGAAGTTTAAAATGTTAATTGTGTCTTCATGAATCCTAAAATATTTTAAATTCTGCAATTAAGTTTTTAAATTTACATTTTTGAAAGAAATAATACATGACAATGGTGCAAAAATGATTTTTTATATAAAGTTTGGGGTATTTAAATTCAATGTGCAAGTTATGGCTGCTTACCTAACAACCCGTCAAAGTTTGGGGTATTTTAATTAGTCTTCCCTAGATTAAATGAAGACATGATCGTCTTTTAGGAGATGCAATAAGTGTTTGGAACCGGGACCCACTCTTGTAATGGGCCTCTGAAAATTTAAAATGTAGTATGTGGTATATGTTGATTTTTCTAGATGTTATGTACGAAGTATTATTCAAGATTCCAAAAGGTATATAATGTTTAGATTCTCTATTTTGTGTACTTTAAACATCATAAAATTTATATTTCATTGAATTGTCTAGTCTATTTGTATTTCATTGTAAAATTTGGTATTCCAAAGGGGGACCTTAATTTGTCATTTGGAATCGGGACCTCCAAATTGATGAGACTGTTATAAATGGATAGATCAACGACAATGCTGTGTTGCTTGATTCTTTTTGCTGCTTGGCACATCAAAGGCGGATAAAAATCTCACCACTACTTTAATTAAGAGTGCTATTGCGCGCTGCTGGAGCTGGTAAAATACTTACCTGGCCTTTTAGAGCATCTCTAATGCTCCACTTTCAACATTGAAAAATAATTGACACATGGCAAAAAATGTATGGAATGTCAAACCACATAAGATAAAAGTGGAGGTATAATAAATTGAAAGCATAAAGTCTTCTCCAATGCAATTTAAAAAGACTCAAGTTCCGTAAACGGAAAAATTTTGCAACTGCCTAAGCCACTAATGGATAAAGATGATATCCGTATTTATCGCCTCTTAAACAAATCGGCACCACTTATTTTCAGTTTTAACCCAAAATGTTGATTCAGCCTGTGTAAATGACTTTTGAAAATCAAAAAGTGGGTTCGACACTTTCATAAACACGTATGCACCACAGAACAAAGTAAAGACAGCATTGGAGGAGTTTTATTAATACGGCTTTAGTGTTGTATTATGTGGCGTCCATTTTTTACTTTGGAAAGTGAAGCATTGGAGATGCTCTTAAGGGTGTGTGTATATTTTGTAATTCTAAGGTTTTTAAGGTTGATCGTTAGAAAGGTTAAATCTTGTGTTAGATAATGAAATTATATTCTGTATTCAGAAACTACAACTCCAAATCTCTATAAAATTGCAAACTCCAAATTATATTGGTGGCTCAGGGCTGGATCAAAAAGACTGGAGGATGTCTTTATTCATTGCTTACCAGGTATCGTTTGTTGGATTATATGGAAGTGGTATGCAGATCTGATTTGGGGTGGGGGTGATAAAATCTCCTCTCAGGCTAAACTCATATATCAGATTAAGTCTTATTCTCAGCTATGGGTTTCAAATTTATCCACAATGAAGCTAACCAAGGTGGGGAGAGTTCTATACGAGGAGCAACTTATCCCTAATTCCTTTAAGTTGTCTCGGCCCATGATAAATGTAGTCAAATGGAAAAAACCATTGAATACTTACAAGCTCAATACGGATGCCAGCTTTTCGTCGGGTTCAGCGAAGGGAGGTGCTGTCTTGAGGGATTCGGATGGTCGTTTCGTCATGGCAACTGCCTTTCCAATCGAAGCTTATTCTCCTTTGGAAGCTGAACTGATGGCAGTAGTTACTGCTACCAAATGGGCGATTCACGAAGGTTTTTCTGGGTTTCAGGTTGAGTTGGATTCGTCTGAGGCGATGCGATACATCCACGATGGCGGGGTTGGCAGATGGTTTTGCGAGGTTACATCGTTGTTGGATCTGTCTGAAGCCAACAGAGTTTCCTTTTTCAGCACTTGGAGAGAGGCAAATTGGGTTGCTCACTGTTTAGCGGATCAGAACTTGGCCCAACAGGTTGTTTACTCGCAGATTTGTGCTCTTCCAATTCGGGCTAGGATGCATTATTTTATGGACCTCTTTGGACTACCTACTTT